AGGTGGGTTCAATCATATTTATTTAAAAGGTCGCAAGCTGTGGTGATGGGTGGGTACCGTTCAAACTTTGTCGATATACCTAGTGGCGTGCCACAGGGTTCTCACTTGGGGCCTCTTTTCTACAACGCGTATTTGTTCGATATTGCTGACTGCTTTAGGAGTTCCGAACATTTAATGTATGCAGACGACAAGAAAATTTTCTATAAAATAAGGTCAATTGATGATTGTAGTGCGCTTCAGGAAGACCTTTGTAATTTGCATGATTATTACATTTTAAACAAAATAACTGTTAACGTAACAAAGTGTCAATATATTTGTTATACACGAAAGAAAAACCCTGTAACCTACGACTATCACTTTAATGGTATCATTATTACTAAAGCCGTGGCAGTACGAGATCTAGGAGTCTTGTTTGATGACAAGTTGACTTTCGCTAATCATATTGATTACATTGCCACAAAGGCTTACAAGAACTTGGGATTTGTTATTAGGTCTTGTAAAGATTTTAAAAACATTGAAACTATTAAATTGGTATATTTTGCATATGTCCGCAGTGTCCTAGAATATGCGTGCCCAATATGGTCCCCGCAATATGCCACTTATATTAAACAATTAGAACGTATTCAAAGTATATTTGTCAACCACCTCAATTATCGCCTTCGTAAAGCTCCGATGTCCTACGAAGACAGCTGTCGATCGTATGGACTGCTAACACTCGAGGAAAGACGAAGAGTAATGGATATGTGTTTACTATACGATATAATTAATGGCCGCTTGGATTGCCCCGAGTTGGTCCAGCAAATAACGTTTAACGTTCCCAGAAAGCGCACTCGCCATACGCCGATGATACATGTACCTCGGCGCTCGACTAAATATGCAAAAAATTGTGTACTGACTCGCATTGCCCGAACACACAATGATAACTTCGCCGAAATAGATCTATTCAGTTGTGCTAAACCTACTTTTAAAGAACACATCATTAAATGTATTAATAAAAGTAATCAGGACACCGACTCCGTATCTTGAATCATTATTTCAAAATTTAAGTCTTTGTAATTGACTAACTGATTAAGTAAATCATTTTTTGTTATTTTTTTGTTATTGATCTTATTTTGTTAATTTAATTAAGTCCGTTCGCATATTTACAAAATCTAGAAAGTAAGGGAAGCCTATTATTAGCCTTAATCTCTGTAATTCACGCAAACTTTTGTAAACTACATGTAACGCTGTTGGTTTTCTAAATAAATAAAATAAAATAAAAATAAAATAAAAATCTCGACAAAGAAATCATACCTCTAAGTCAAAGGCCCAGTTTTCAGTAAGGCACAGGGCGCTAATGCTCTTAGTGCATTCAGGGCGGCGTACTTAAGAGCATTAGACGCTAAGAAGCCTAGCACTACATCACTCAATCCTGTTAGCGCGTGCGCTGCTAACACTGTTATTACTGTAACATTATATTCTTAGGATTAAAATAATATTCAGATGTAGGTGAGTGGGAAGTTAGGAGGCTTGCTAAGTTTTGCTTGTTCAGGTAACTATCTAGTTTTCTGTAAGGTATTATGTAACTTAGTTTTAGACAGAAATTCTCACATTTGTCTGAATAAAATTAAAATTAAATGAAATTGATATTTCTTACAATTACAATTCATGAGACTTCATGAAAATTTTGAAATTGAGAAAGGAATCAATTAGGTAAGGAAAGGTAAAGGTAAAACCATTAATGTCAAAGGAATTTATTAACTTATCGGTAATTAGGTAGGCTGAAATACAAAACGTAGACATTTTTGTATAGTAAAGACAATATCAAACTCTTTCTCATTTAAACCAAAAAGTCCAAGCGGAATACAATTCTGCAAACATATATACAAAAGCGCAGATCGTATTGTGCGAGTACAACGCATGTGTACTTGTGTAGGTATATCTATACCCATATAATGTTTACTGCATGGCGAACGTGGTTTGAACAACACATTGTTAGCAATCAGGAGGTTAGCCCCGGATAATCCGGGCTATTGTTAGCTATTTTAATGCTTATGCCCTTTGTGTGTGTCCTGTATTAAGTCATACGCGGATAATCGCTGTATTATGTAGAGTTAATTTTCCATTGGCTCGTTCATAGGGATTGGCAGCTGCTTACCGTCGCAGTGAAACAAACTGGCGACATTTATGCAGTCAAATAATACATGTACATATTCAATGTGTTGTCACACGGCGCGTTCTAGTTAATTCACTGAAATAAATGACGAACCTATATTTTATTCATCCAGCATTGCTGGATGCTGTCCGTTTAATATTTTAGTATTTGCGTTCCATATTTAATTGATTTTGTGGGTACCTACATATATCCATCTAACAAACGATTCTACCCATTATAATCGAATAGACATTAAAGAAGTCGTTAATAACAGTCATTTTGACGTAACTTGACTTTAATCATTTATATATATTACGTTCTTTATAGAAAGGAGTCTAAATAAACTTCTGTTTGTGAGTTATCGTTTTGTAAACAAATTTAAAATTGTTTACATTGATGTGGTCGAAAAATCACGGCCGTTTTTACGGGTAATCTTGACTTACTGTCACGCATCGTCGAGTGACCAATATTTGTCGGAATAGAACACCGTAAAGATGTTTCCGGTTCGTAAAAGTATCATATTAACTGTTCAAACATTGGATCGGAGGTTTTATCGCTGGCAGCTGGGCGACACGACTAATTACATCAATTACAGGCAAACAGTGGTGCGCTCGGGTTTCGCTCCCACCTTTGTCAATATTTGGCGAGCGACCGCGGCCGCCTCCCCGCCCCGAATGGACACTCGTCTACGCAACGACACACAACCCTGGACATTCCATTATTAATGCACAAGGTCATACCTACACCGCTAATGGAGAACGTTTCAAAACAAGATAGCATTAGGTACTACTAAATACTTACTTCTTAATTAGTCTGATAGTACAGAGGAAATCTCTTCAATCTCTTTCTTTTTATAGGTATTGCCTAGGTGTCTTAGATTTTATTTAATTGTGTGATTTGTTGAAAGGTTGGATTCCTAGAGACTTTTCACCTGAAACGTGAGTGCATTTCTTACCACAAACTTTAGATTGAAAATTTGGAATTGGAAAATGGAATGACATAATTACCTAGTAATAACCAAGGTGATTAGAAGTAGGATTCACCATACCAAAGTGAAGAAAAAATATTTTTAACTAAAAAATTAATTAAATCTTAATGACAATTGAGTATGTAGTCGTAGGTACGCAATACAGACAATTTATGCACCATATCGTAGTATAGAAAATTAATCCACGTTTGTTTTATTAGGTTCGCATTTCATTTACTCACAAAATTATTCACTTTTTAACAATTATGTAGGTTAATAATGAAGTATGGCAATTTAATTATTACTTACATAAATAACATTGTTACTCAATATTTGCTCATTAATTTTGATGGAACTTTACCTACCGAGTAGATACCTGAGTTTCAATCGTATATTTAAGTATTTTTTGCGACTTCGTATCTAATGACAACCATCTAATTTCTTTTATATCCGACGTTGACAGAAACCATTTTTTTACCCTTTATTATCCTTATTATACGACGTGTGTTTGTGTGTGAGTATTAGCTATTGTTATACGATTCTCATAAGCTGCAAAAAGGCGAACTCGTAGTGAACGCCCGACGCGCGACGCCGCAGGCGCAACTTTTGACAAAACAACTTATTCAATTTGTTCGCTGTTAGGCACAACTTGTAATCCCTTAGGTTCAGCTCCACAAATGTCACAAAAAGACTGAGTCGATATCATTTGTTCCGACTTCCTTAGAAGTTGAAGAGGTACGATACACATACAAGTAAGTGTTTACTGTCTTTCTTACTTATTACATAATAGGTATGTACATACGGGCAGATTGTTTTAAATATAATTTGGTTCCCAGTTTTTCTATCGTAAAACTACGTAGTTTCCTAAGAATATTAGATATAAAGTTTTATTTATTTTATAGATTACAATGGATTACACAAAACACAGTACAAAAGTATAAATTCCGTACGAATTTCTTGAGAAAATAATCTTATGGCAATACCACAAGAAAACAGAAACGAATGCAGCTTTAGGTAGGTAGGTACCCAAATAATGGAAATGTCTTTCTTGTCTGTTTCAAATTGGTTGAAATGAATGGGAACAAGTTGCAACAACCAATTTTTATTTAATACTTGATATTTTTTTTATTTATAATTATCATCTTGCATAACCATGTAGATAGTGCTCTCTGTCTGCGACTTCTTATTAATAACCAACTTACTGCAGATGATTGTCTCATAGAAAAAAACAAACGGTGATCATGCGTACAACACTGGTAATTATGACTAATGATATGACCACCACAATATGTAGGTACCGTCAGCAGTAGCGGTGTAACCACACGAGCAGTTTGCAATGACAGCGAGCGCAGAGCGTCGCGCGTCGCGCGTTCAGCAAAATACCTACGCGTTTCATTATAACAGATTACAACTTACGGAGAAGGATACACAGATTACTATTATATCAACTGTTCGGAACGTCACCGTCGTATTGTCACATCCATTAAGCTGTGCTTGGGGCGGGGCCAGGCACGCCACGCCCCGCCGCACGCCCTGCTCACCCCACACACGCCGCGCCCGACACTCGCGCCGCGACCGTTCTACTTACTAAAACGATTTGCTCGCAATCGCATCACCTGCGTATTATCCCTTCATCACACTAAAAATCGACGCCTTCTCGTCTCGATGCTTATAGTTAATTCGATCGCAGATTACGAATAATTTGCATAGTTTAGTTGGACTCAGGGGTAAAATATAGAATTTAACCCTCCAATATGTCGGTAAAAACAATATCGAGTATAGTATAATGAGGTGCTGTGTGCGGGCTGGTGTTTCGTCGCGTGTGTTGTGCTGGGTTCGGTGAGGGTGGCGGTGGTCAGCGACGTGGCGACGCAGGGCGCGTGCGGCGGCGACGGCGGCATGGGCGGCGCGGGCGGCGGCTGGTCGCGCGAGGCGCCGGCGCTGCTGAGCACGGCGCTGCTGCTGGGCGGCGCGCTGCCCGAGCGCCCGCCCGCGCCGCTCTTCACCATCGACAGCATCTTGGCGCCGCGCCCGCACCCGCCGCTACCGCCGCTGCAGCTGCAACACCTGGCGCACTCGCCGTTCCATAGAGCACATGATCTCTTTGGTACGTTTGCCAACAGTTTAGGTAAACCATTTCATAATAAATTATTTACTTAAACACCAAAACATAGAATATTTTAACAGTCGCACCTATTTGATAATAAAGGCATTACGAACCAAACAAAACGAAATGGAAAGTGATTCGAGGTTTAGAGATTACCTTTGTTAGATACCAGCTCTAAGAGGATTATATTGAAACAAAAACAAAATTATAGTTAATTAGATTCTAGCTTTTATTTTGCGTTCATTAACTTCGTATATGTGCTCCAATATTTAAGTAGTTCATTCGTTGTACGATGAATCTTTACTGTAATTTTAATCTTCTTACTTTTTTAAGTGAATTAACAAAGATGAATTTGAGACATAACTAAGTATTTGTTGCTATGGAAGTACAACAAATTCTCACAATATTTAGCTATGTCCAGTTCAGTCAATATCATATGAGAAGAAATAAAATAAATCACATTGAACAAAATTGAACTACTTACAAACAAAGGAGGAGTTTCGAGTACGGATGATTCTTATTTATTACTTACAGTTAGATTAGGCATTTATACTGTAACTCAATTTAGTTTAGGTAGAGGTTATTAGCCGGAAAAACATTTAAATCTTACTTCCAGAAAAAACCTTTGATCAATAAAAATATTATATCATCGAGTTTAAATTTTCAATAACTTTCAAGTCTCTTGTGTATAAATCTTATTAAACGAATATAGTTCTATTAGCGAATATAATATCATTAATATACATTGGAAAAGTAAATCAATATAAATACTGCATTTTAATTAAATTATAACTGAACGAATAGAGGCGCAAACTGTTCTTAGTGGTATATGTTATCACCTCTTAACCTTGACATTGTATATATAACAAACACCAAATTATCCGTCAGTTACACTAACTGAAACTTAACCGGGACCATAAAATTAAACAGAATAAAAAATAATCAAAATAATGAGTTCTACACGTATCATGGTCATGATTGTCATGTTTGCTACGAAACTTCTACGGTGTAGCCGTAGCCGTAGCACTTGCTACAATGAGTCTTTTGTTAGGAGAATTCTTTTATTCGTGATTTTTGATTTTTTTTTTCGTAACCAATTTTTATAGTCAACGTATAAGTTGATAGCATAGTATTTGATAGCAATTATTATATACATACATATTATTTATTGTCAATGCAACATAAAAATTGAAATCTTCATATCAATTTAAACTAAGTGAAATTTCCCCCTTCAATTTTCACAAAAAAATCTATAATTTTCCCCTATGGATTTTCATACTACACTAACTTCCAATCATCAAATTCTTGAACTAAGTAGCAGTATAAAAATATCTCATAAAAACACCAAGCTAGTCGATTGGCAAAAAACAATAACAATTCTGTATTCTAATGTGACTTTACATACGGGGGTAGTATATAAGCCCGTCGACCCAAATATCGTAGACAGCATGAAACTCTGACAAAAGTTCTAAGTAATTAAAATTTTCGTGTTCCTAGTACGTAATAACAGACACGTTATGTGTATTTTATTTTTTTCATGTACCTCTACATGAAGATTTTCTCGTGGAACTTGTGTGCGTTTACAGACATAATTATAATTTCAAATACCTAAATTGAGGGGGGAAAATCATCTAATGACTTCCCCCGCCTTGGGTGAGGCGAGAAGGAGTGTCGAACTCTTACTGACGGAAAACCACCCCGTTCGTACTTCTGCTCTTTGAGCCCGAATGGTGGTGGTGGTCTGATAGCTTATTGAGGCGTACGCGGAACGCGACGCGCCGGTAAATTGAGCCTTAGAGTAATTTTTATTATCTTGTAAAACCAATATCTCCCTGACTATTTAAATAGTGGACTGTCACAGAGTGTTAATGTTTGTGACACCCACGGGATGAGTGGGGATTATATATTCTATTCTGCCGTCACTATACGGCTCACGCCTGTACCTACTTTAATCAGGGTTTAGGGTGTTTAGGTTCCCAGATTCGTTGATTGTTAGCAAAAGTTACTGTTGATCAGTAATGTAAATATTATGGATTTATCAGTTCCAAAATATATATTTTAAACTTAAAGGATTCTGAAATATCCATGAAAACGAAATGTTGAAACCATAAGTCCTACTAAAATGTGACCTTATATGTGTTTATGTGTTTATATTTGAGGAGTGGCTTGAGAGACGCTACGGCGTCCTCACCTACCGCCTGACGCAGGTCCTCACCGGACATGGAAGTTTCGGGAGGTACCTGTGTCTGATGGGGCGGGAGGAAACGCCCGGGTGTCAACACTGCGAGGACCGCCCTGAGGACACGGTGGAACACACCGTAGCGGAATGCCCTGCGTGGGCTGAGCACCGCCGTGCCCTCGGGGAAGTGATCGGCGATGGCGACCTCTCGCGTCCGGGCCTAGTGCAGGCCATGATGCGGAGCGAGGGGGACTGGGATGCCGTCTCCTCCTTTTGCGAAGTAGTTATGCTAGCTAAGGAGGAAGCGGGGCGCATGAGGCAGCGAAGCGCTGCCTTCTCACAACCCAGCCGTCGCGAAGGACAATCCGGGCGTCGGGGATAGCGGGACGATCTCCGGCCACTGTAAGCGCGGGCCTACGGACGGAGAACATGGCGATTCGTTGATTATACCCCCTTAAAAAAATAGTAGATGTTTATCTTATGTGATATGTGACATTGAACAGTCTGATTTTATTAAGTAGTTATTTTATTTAGAATTATCATACCATCTTTTGTATGGTAAAAAAATCACAAGTTTTTCTAACTACTTCATCAAATGACGTGCATCGCTAGTCTCCCGCCGCATCTCATGCACCCCTTGTTTGTTATCAAGGCAGAATATACTGAACTCAACATGTTATGTCAGGTGTCCAAGAGATATATAATTACTATGATTTTCAAATGAGAATAATATAAGCACCGAATTTAATTTAAATCAACTTGCACTACAATGATGCACTTTAATTTACCGGCTACAATAACAGACTTAAAAAGCCACTGGTAGAATGTTCTATTTTAATTATTTATTTTTTGATTTAGTCTCAATGTTTGTTTAATTTTGTCTAGTACATATACAGACTATATATATATAAAAATGAATTTCTGTTCGTCCGACTGAACCGATTTGGATAATTTTGGTCTTGAAATGTTCGTGGAAGTCCAGAGAAGATTTAAAAGGTGAACATTTTTTTAGGCGGAATAAAATTTGCCGCGTCAGCTAGTATTGATTAAAATTTAAATTTCAAAACGCGAGGAGATATAATTGGCTCACTGATACCTGCGATTATTGTTATTTTTATCTGTTTTTATTCGCTGTAAGTCTTGTTACGTTTCGGTGTCGACACATGTACCTACCTACACCGTGATCAATGGCGTGTCTCGTGGCCCAGATCTACTAAATCAGGACATAACACCTAAATTGATGTAACAACGGTCCTATGGAGTATTGCAACATCCAAACTCTGAGTCTTTCCTCATGCCACCGCCTTGTGGGCACAAGCTACGAATCGCTACATCATCGATCACCCCACTAGATTTAACCTCAATAAAACTTTCTTACAAAATAATTTTAAGAGTTGAAAGCAGCGTTGTTCCAACTTCGAACGCATTCGCACTTAGGTTAGTTAGATTTTAGGAGTTATCATGTAATTGTAATATGATTAGATATATTAGATAGTTTCCATTTGCACACTCGGTCGGTGGCAGAAACGTCTTTTATGAAGTATAAGTATAAGTATAAATATATTATCAACGAGTAGTTTAGAGGCTAAAGTTTCGAATGTTTCTGGTAAATCGATCTATTAGCCGTGTGGTGACGACAGGGTGGAATACATTTTTGTCACCACCATAGTCTTCCTGCAGGTGTCGTAGGAGTTGACTAAGCTAATACTACCTACACATTTATTTAATAGAGACCTTTTTTTTTTTGTTGACGGGGGAAGCCTTCCAAAGGCGCTTAGCTTTTTGGGGAAAAAGACTAGGGAGTTTGTGATTTTTACCTCACTAAACTGTCAATTTATATTATTAACCTCAATTAGACTCTCAAACTGTTGATGATTACCTATTTGCGTTATCATCAACAGCCTTTGATAGATACCTCTTTTTGTCAAATCTTCTAAATTCCACGCCGGTAAATAATTTTATTAGCATCACTGGAATATAATGTTAACTAATTGTTCTTTTGTCATATATAGGATGGCTTCCAGTCTGTGCTAGTACTGTTGTGAATTAACTCGTCGAGTACCGGTTTTTAGACACAATTATAGAACAATAGGTTGCGGTCACCGGTGACCGCTTGGTGTTTGACAGTTTAAATATTTTCTCAACAAGACTGCCCCGGGAATACATGTAGGGAAGAAGCTAGGGATTATTATTAATGTTTGTAAAGTCTTTTTATTTCCAGTCGTATAAACCGGACCTACAGTAATGAAATAAAATTATAAAAGAGTAGAGAGATAAATAAAATATTGTAACATAACATATTTCATTGATAAAGATTTAAATCCGTCCATTATAAGAACAAAAATGTATATTAAGAATCTAATGTATTTATAAGCTAAATTAAAATGACCCCATATACTTTTAAAAATACATTTATTATATCAGTTATACTATCAAAAAATAACGATATTTTCATACTATAAAATATCACGCAACGATGCAGAGCGGGTGAAACCGCGCGGGTGTAGCTACTCGGAACTGACAATAGGAATCGATATGGTACCTATACTTATTAATCTAAGCATACACATTATCTACAGTTACACTAATCTATACTAATATGATAAAGAGGAAAGATTTGTACCTATTTTTGTATGTTTGTGTGTTTGTAATGAATAGGCTCAAAAAGTACTGGGCCGATTTAAAAAAATCTTTCACCAATAGAATGCTACATTCTTCCAATTTGACATAGGCTTTTTGTAAAAAATTAGGGATCCTTGGTAAAATTTGAACAATGTAACCGAAGGTGTAGAAAAATGAGTCTTAAAATGTCTTTCGTCGAATGCGCTGCCGAAACTATTAGCGATAGAACAAAATAATATAAAACAATATTGAAGAACATCATAATGTCTACAAAAATCTCCGCGGTAGCATATGTCCAAATATTGTAGTTATGTCACTACAACAATCCAAATTTCCAAAAATAAATAATTGTCTACCCCGTGCGAAGCCGGGACGGGCTGCTAGTAATAGTATAAAGAGGAAAGATTTAATTGTTTCTTTGTTTGTTTGAATGGAATCTCTTCCGAAACTACCGGGCCGATTATAAAAATTCTTTTACTGTTGGAATCCTACATTATCGATGATGAACATAGGCTATATTTAATAAGAGAGGAAAAAAGGAAACCGTGTAAAATTTGCGATAATGTAATCCGATGTGTGAAAATACTACCAAAAATCTCCATTGCTTAAGCCTTTGACTGCCAATAGAAAACTGTTTTCTAGGACTAATGATAGTACCTCTATTTAACTCCATCAAAATCAGAGATTCTAATGAAAAAAATGCGATTTCAATTAACTGAATACATTTTATTCATGGTCTAGCTTCTGCCCACGGTTTTGCTCGCGCTCTTATAGTTTTGAGGGCAGGTTAACAAGACATAAAAATAGAATCGGTGCCCGATGTTTTGCGGGTCACATATATGTCACTAATTTTAGGATTCTTGAAAATTACGAAATGCTCCATACAAACTTCCAGCCCCTGTTTTAGGGAAGTGGTGGGTTAGAAAGAAACAAAATGTCGCCTATGCGATATGAGACGATGCCGACATAGATAGGCAACGCAGAGCGCTGTCAGTAGTGGGCAATATGATAGCCAGGAGATTTTTTAAAGCTGACACTCAGACGAAGGTACATCTATTTAGGACATATTGTCAGAGTTTTTACACGTGCCAACTCTGGACGCGCTACACGAAGAGGTCTCTGGATGGTATTCGTGTCCAGTACAATAACATCTTTAGGCAGCTAATGGGTCTGGAGCCGCACTGTAGTGCGTCAACTATGTTTGCAGAAGCTAGGCTGGATACGTTTAATGCCATCCAGAGAAAACGAATCGCCGGATTCATGTCAAGGGTTGGTTCGTGTACAAACAGTATTATCAAAGACTTTTCTGAAAGACTGTATACTACCACAATGTACAAAAAATGGTTACAGATTGCAGCGTAATATTTGTTTTTGTATTTTTTTAGTTTATTTTGTGTTTTTGTTTTTTTGGAATTTTGTAATAGTGTAGAGAGGTTGGCGTTTTGGTTGTTTTTTTTTTTGTAAAATATGGAGTGTAATGATTCCGAAATAAAGATTTATTATTATTATTATTTACATATATTTATTTAAAATTCTCTATAAATTACATTTTTAAACACTACTTATAAAATAAAAATAATATTTAAAAATATAAAAAATAGGAGCCGACCAGTAGCGGGAGCATGGTCCAAGCTACCGGTGGTTAGGGCTCCAGAGACAGAAACCTCCTCACGATACGTGCCGTTTCTAGGAGAACTGCCTTCTGTATCAGGCCCTTGATCCATCCACCTAACGCCAGCCTCCTAAGATGGATGTCGAGGCTTTTAGGGATTAACCCATTGGCTGACACGACTATCGGCACAATGATAGCCGAATCCACACTCCACATGTCGACAATGTTATTATTATTATTATTATGCTAATTTCGATCCGTTCTACTATCTGAAAAAAAATCACGTCAATTCCTAAAAAACCAACAGACGTAAACAATTTAATAATGACGTAAATAATAAAGTAAGTATACCTTTCTATGTTATCTGACATATTTTTGACAAGTGAGTTTCATGCCAATGGATTATTGAGAATTTATTTTTTTATTATCATGAGATAACATGAAAGTATGCAAAGAGGCTGAATACCAATTTTATTAACCACTGAACCTATTTGATTGAATTCGGTTCAACGAGAGTTGAGATACTGGCAATGGAAAGGAAATCTCACGGGACAGGAACTATTCGTTAAAATTTCGGGACTCTCTATTGCTTAAACCACTGAAGCTATTTGAGTGCAATTCGGTATAATGATAGTTTGAGACTCGGAAAACGACGCCTGATAGTTTTCAACCGCTGTACCTATTTAATTGGAATTCAAATGGGAAGTCCATTTCTGAATCCATCACTGAAATATTTCACAATAAATATATCTAAATTGATTTTGATGAGATTTGTTACAGAGCATTGGAATTAATCTTGGAGAAGATTAAAAATTCATTATTATACGCGAACCAAGTCGCGAGGAACAGCTAGTTATATATACAGTCTGTTGTTATCGTATGCAGATAGAACTCATCATTGAATTGCCATATTGAGATGTTAAATCATTAGTAATTTTTTACCTGTATTAGTCATAAACTTTATGAAACGTTACTCGTCTACGTACTTTAGCGGTTAAGTGCAAGATTTGGAAGCGAGCCTCGGGCGGTCCCTCGTACACTACACGCCAAACCGCATCGAGGGTGAAGACGGCTTATCTCAATTAAAATCTTTTTTCCTCCTATCCAAGCGAACATTTTAAAAATTTCAAAACATCCCCAGGGTTCGGTGAATCGTTGTTACAACAAAAACAAACTTTTATTTTCTTTTATTGAGTTAGAAAGTAATTTTGTTTACACTAAATATCTATTCATAGCTCAAGATAGACTGTGATGAAAGTATTAATATGATATATGCGAGTTAACTGCAATATTTTAAAGATATGTTGATTTATTGACTGAGTTAGTCGCATTAGTTTATGTAAAAGCTTAAATGAAATCTCCACAAGCCCAAAAATCTCGATAAATTAGTAAAGTGTTTTTAAAAAATCACTTTTAATAAATATTTTTTATGCTTTTAATTGTATGTATTGAAACCGTAGTAACGCGACCTCACATGCGCTCTGCTTAACCCTAAACTTCTGTTTGATAATGCTATTACGTATGGTCCTCTGACACTACTGTTAATTTGAATTGCCCCCTTCAAGGACCTTCAAAGAGGGTGCTCCTCAAATTAATTTACAATTAGGGGCCAAAACATTAATTGTTCAAATCATGTCAGTTTAAATTATTCGATGATCATTAAATTAACTTGTCAATGTTTACCAGGTAAATGTAAAGTAATATTAGGTACGCTTTTAAAATAACTAAGTAGGTAGTTAGTAATCTAAAATAAATATTGTTCAATTACATTACACGTTAGACAGTAAGTATTTCTCACACGTTGTTATACATTTTGTAAGAATGTGGCCGATGTTCTCGCTGTGCTGAGGATTTTATTGTATTTAAAATCGATAGGGCTTAGGCGGGCGGTCGGAGGTTCGCAGCTGGGAGGTGCTGCGGTGGCGCGTGTGGGATACTGCCGATAGCGCCTTAGCAACGTGCCGCCGCCGGCCTTAAAAGCTTTTATATTCCTTTAAGAAATAATACAGTGTAATGCCTCTCGCGTTTCCGGCGCTCTGGAAAAATATTCAATTTTTATTCGTGGCGCTAATATTTTGAACGGAACGCTCATGGAGTGCGGCCCGAGGGAGCTCATGGGGCACTAAGCTCAGATCTTCACGCACCGCCTACTCCAACACGTATTATCATTGATTCGAGGTGACGCTCTCTATTTGTAAATTCACATTTTTTGTAGTATTGAAATTTTAAAGTGTATTTCAGTTGTATCGGACGATACCGCATCGGTGAATAATTGTCTTGTCTATATTCATGTCCACTGACTTGAAATTCAGAGTAAATGCAGAGAGTAAATACTTAAAACTTAAAAGTAGGTATATTGTCTTTTATTTGTCTGTAAATTATAACTACAATAATTTTAATGCAGGTGTCAGCAGTGTTGGAAGTGCAGTATCAAGCGCTGGTGGTTACGCAGGCCTTTATGGTGGGTACGCGGCTGCCGCCCTGGCAGGTCTTGCGGGTCCACCACCCAAACGCAAGCGCAGACACCGCACTATCTTTACGGAAGAGCAGCTGGAACAGCTAGAGAGCACCTTCGACAAGACGCACTACCCCGACGTTGTTCTTAGAGAACAGCTCGCATTGCGGGTCGACTTGAAAGAAGAAAGGGTCGAGGTATGTTTTATTTCTAAGCTCAAACCTTCACAAATGATTCAATATTTAGATAAAATGTATAACCCAGTCGGATATTACAATATTTTTGTATTGTTTCACTATTTACACACAATACATCAAAACAAAGTTAAATAGGAAATCTCCTTAGTTCATAATGCCAACAGAAAAACGTATTTTCTTTCCTTAGTTCCTTTGTTATGTAAGGTTTCACGCTAAAATGTTAAGTAATAAAGAGAAACATTTTTGTACCCGTAGTAACTACGTGTATTTAACATTTTTCCTTTTGAGTTTTTCGGAAAAACTAATCCGTCATTTACCTACTTAACAACTTTTGTATTTTGAGGAAAGGAATCGAAGCAATCTTTGAAATAAGCCTAAGTAAATTCTTTTATTCTGCACCCACTAAACATTAATCAATCAATCAAATTCTTACTGTTTACTAGAAGAAGTAGGTTATATAGTGTCTTGTTTAATTAATTACAAACTTTTAGGTTTCACAAATGGGGTAATTCATTAGATATCATAATTCACATAGAAAATATTATTATAGACGATTATGTTTAACATGGTAAAAGAGTTCAAATTACTGGTCTGCATAATAAAACATTTTGAATGAGACCCTACGCGAAGGGAACATTCACAAGGCGCCTGCCCCTTTTTTATGACGGATAAACACATTTATAAACGGTTTTTACCAGTGTGATGTGCCTTTATAGGGCCTTATTTTACTTAATTGTAGACGACAATGGATTCAAAGGAACCATACTGTTATAAGACGTCTGAATTAAGAATCTATAAGTAATTTAACTTGAACACATTCATTAAAATGTCTTTCAATAAGAAAGACGGACAGTCACTGTAAGATACTCGACCATATAAGTCCTGCAACGATTTATACATCAAATGATATTGTAGTAGAACAAATACGAATAACTTCCCGCGGCTTTTTAGGTATGTAATTCATAGTTTGCCATATGTACATATATTCCTTCTGCGCTTAAATGCAATATTTAAAGATCGCTAAAGCAATCCTTTTAATATTATTTAACCTAAACGTGTCGTCATCAACTTATAACATAAATAGTTTCTATCTAATCCTTTGCTTGAATAAAAAAAAAACTGGTGTTCGGCGCCCGTGGCCCGTGGGCCTGGTATGTGAGAAGTGATAAGATTAACGGGGCGTAACGTTTAGTAGTAGCGAAGGGCCAGCGTGTAAACAATGGTGACGCGACATATTCTACGACACCACCAATGTGGGTGGTCGCCATCGCCAGTTATGAAACATGTCAAGAACTGATGATGGTTTCTCTAGAGCTTTGACAATGACCACGTCTCGATTGTTTAATACCTTTTCAGAATTGGCCTATTTCTTAAATCGTATTTAAAAAAAAATGTATGAAACAATAATGTTATAATTTCAAAAATACGTGGTAGGTACTGTTGGTGTGGTTCGGGTTTCAGGGATAGGAATCAGCATCTAGGAGGCCTGCTATTGCTATTCCTAACTCTTATCTAGTGTATTCTTTCCATTATGCCACACGATTAGCCCGAGCGTCTATATGGATACTAGTAGACAGAATGGTCTCGATAGAATTCATGGTGTTGAAAGTAAGTCGGGATATGTTTGTGGGCTGCCGGCCACCGGCTACCGGTGTTGCAGCATTGTGTGCCGACCACTTGACGGCGTGCCACCCAGCCGGACGGCACTGTTTACACAAGTAACCACTCATCCGGCCACGGCTGCGCAAATCCAAATGACATTCTGTACTTCTTAACTTTCGAAGGTCTAATGAAATTCATCATCAAGTGTTAGCATTCATCATCGACATTATGTCCATATGTGTGACACGGATAATATAACGCATTTACTTACAAGTTCTTTTACTGGAAAACACACAATCAACAGTGTTTTTGCTTCAGTTGCTTGTAATAATACTGTTGGGTACCTTATTGTACACATTTACGGTGATGTTTAAGAAAATATTAATGAAGTTTTCTAGTTGATTATTTATACATTATAGATTACGTAGTGTACATACAGCGGACCATATCCAATACTCTGTATGAGGTGTCTAAGATAATTATCTGAGAACACCTAGTAAGAATAATTGTATCTTATATGTAGGTCTTAACCTTATAGGTATGTAGGTACATATAGAAGAATTTTAGGATTGAAATGGTTTTACTAGCAACTTACAATTTTTTGCGGAACTCTTAGTAGTTTACGTAAATATTTACTTGTAAAGTGCCTGCCTTTGGGTTTTTAGTAAACATTATACAATAAGTACTTAGTTTATTTCTCTCTCTGGTTGTTTCCTCATGATCGTGATTATGTTGGCATTACTCTGGATCGGACGAATAGTCTCCATCGGCTCCAGTCTGCGGCCATTTGTATTGTGGTGTAAAACCTCGATGTTGGGTTGGGGATCGTCCTCGTGCACTGCTCCTTTCAACGTTTCCCAATGACAATGAGCTTCTCCAAGCTATCCCCCCGCGTCTCGCTACATGTCCGAAATAGCTCATGATCCGTCAAAGGCACAAAGTGGAGAGGCGGTCCGTGACTTTAAGTTGTAATAATATTGAGACATTGGTGCGCTTGGCTGTCACATCACAAACGCATCTTTTTCTTGTTTCTCTCGTGAAAGGATGTTCCATGTTTCCACACCGCATAAAAATCAATACTAGGATAATGAGTGATCTAACAAGGTGCTTTTTGATGTTATTTATTTATGATGCCTCGATTTCTCCATATATTCCCCAGCCGAGACATGGCGTCCCTAGCAACCACTTCTATATTTGGGATGTTTCTCGAATTTGAGAATTTGCCAGCTCTGTCCACTATCATTAGTTTTGTTTTTGTTGGTAGCGAGATCCATGGCCATACTTTCAGATTCAATTTAATGTATCTACCTAGATATACCTTTTTTAAGTGTTCAGTCACAGACTAATAGCATTGTTATTAACATCATGTCTAATAGTCATTGAACAAGCGTTATTATTAAATACGTAATTTATAAATTCATAGCCGATTTCAATTTGCAGTTTTACAGTTTCAGTAATATACATCATAATAAATTGCCGAAGGTCCTTAATTTTTGCCTTAATTGGTAGAATGAAACCGAAAATGTAAACAAGTTAAAAGATCAGTACGTAATATAAATAAGTAATTTGAATGACTTTTATGGCTTGTCTGACTGAGAGCAACGGTCTACATGTGAAATATGCTTTAGTGTAAACTTTTTATTAAGGAATCCATAGTAAATCACCGCAGGCGGGTAGAGTTTTCAACCGAGTAGAATTTTGCTCCAGGGCAAATAAAAAGGGACGCCCGACGCGGGTGAGACGGGCGCCGCGAAAATTAATCTGAGTTAATTAAATTTGATTTATTTATGCTGCCCTGGCCCGAGCGGAGGGAACGATAAAAGCACAACAATACGACTAATGAGGGTCACTTCTACGGCTTTTTCCCGGATAACAGACTTTTTCCGATTTGCGTAACTTATAACTTGAGTAATCAACCAAAGTTATTTTTATGCGAAGCTGTTGTTTTCATTTATCATCAGTAAGGTTTAATTTGGTGAAGGATAAATTGTTTTCGAGTTGAAACTTTCCCGACAAAGTTGAAAGAGATGTGCAGACCTAGCAATTGTTTTGATTGAATAATGTTTACAGTTACCGGAAAAAGGAAATTTACTTAAGTTATTGTTTCTGATGGCGGCATTCTGTATATGAATTCTGAATTCAGGCATTCGGAGAATTACGGGTGTCCAGGTGAAGGCATGAAATATTTTACAAAATATTTTTTTGTATTTAATGGATGTTTATGGTATAGCAATAATATAAATAAATATAAAAAAGAAATAAAAAATATAATAAAAAAGTACCTCCCGCCTCACCCAGGCGGGAGCAGTAATTCGATGATTTTCCCCCCTTAAAAGAAAATGATATACCATTAATAAACATTTGCATATTTACATTTACTTTTTTAGTTCTGGTGACATATACATGTATTGCTAATTATCCAAACTGATAGCTTTTCGTGTGTGTTGTTTCTGAGAATGATTTTTTAATACTAAAAACTAAACTAACTTTAACCTAGGTATCGGGGTAGGAAACATTCAAATTATTCGGTACGTAATTTCTTTAAAATAACAACATCACATTGTGTAATTTGGCAGCGGCAGTGTTGTGTGGAGGCACTCGTTCACTGTACACTGTAGATACAATAAAAGTGCGAGTTGTTGAGGCAATACACTCGGTTTCGTTGTTGCCCCTGTTATTTGTTCAGCGGCAATTGGAAATTGCATTATTAAAACGTTTTGTTTAGGCATCACAACACTTGCTCAAAATCGCCCGCTTTATTGTTTTGTTTCAGAATTCGATTCAACTTTTTTGTTTGTAGCATTAACTGATGCAGTGAGGCCAGTCAGCCGGGTAAAGTTACCAAAATAAATCAATATTTCAAGTGAAATAGAGGATTGGAATGCACTGCTATGATGTGCTTTAGTATACCTACATAGTTTTTATTGTATTGTGACTTTATAAAATACGGAATACAAAAAACAAATAGGTACATAAGTAATTGAATAAAGCAAAAAAACCCACTGATTTTTTAAATTATTTATAGAAACGTATACGTATTATTGTTTTGAAAACTTTAAGTTTATTATATGTTGTTTACTTTATTGTAAACATGTTAAAGTCGTTCTATATTAAGACACACGATGCATGAGAACGTAATTAATAATATATATGTTATTGTTCAAAAAAGGTAACCTGTTACAACGTAATTATTAATTTTTAAAACTAATTGGCTACAACGCCTACGCAGCGCTACGCGGCGGCTACGAACACATTTTTATGAAATTCTGTAATGTTACGTTGTTTATTTTATAAACTAGTATTAAACATGTAAAGTTACATAGTTATAGTTTATGATTACAGAACCAGTTACCAAATTAGCCTTACATTAAGTTTGTGTCAGAAATATTGCCTGCTTC